ACACTACCGAATGCTGATGCAGATTGTACCTGTATATTCACCCACCAATTTTTGATTTTTCTAGAGATGGCAAGGTAGAGGAGTAGTGGTAGATGTCTAGACCGTACCTTCTGGAGTGTTTTGATAACTGTGAGATAGTCTGCTTCTCAAATCAGATCAAAGTATGTTGCCCCGTGTGCCCTTAATTGAGTTTGTTAGCCACCCATTGCCTGTATCCGTGCCGACGTTAGTCAGGTAGGGGCCCAGGGGCCGTAGTATCTCCATTATAGCCCATTAATCATTCCATAGTTCGCTTCATACCCATAACCTTGTCATTACCAGATTTGAAAAAGGAAATGTTTAAATTCCTCGGAATTTAGAACCAACACTTACTCGACTTTATGTATGAATGTACAGACATATCTGGAATTGACAGGTTCTGAAAGTAATATTATTAGTTTAGAAGAAGTTGCTTAAAATTATGATGAATTCTCATGGCCGCTTGCTTAAGAAGTCTGGTTCTGGTAATGGAATCCTGAATCTGATTCTGATTCTGACTCGAATCTGATAACGATCATTGTGAGTGGATGTAATCTTGCTACAACATGCAACAGGTCGGTACAACTCTTCAATAAAATACTAAAAGCAAATTCTCTAGTTACATAACATTGTTGTTAGGTAATTGTCATCCCTGCTGTGTCTGTGGAGGCCGTGGAGCCGGCTATGCTCTGAAACAATTCGCAATACATCACCGTCATGCGTCGCTCGTATTTCAGCAACAGCATAATTTGTAGCGACCGCGGCGTGCGCAGGCGCGGCGCCTGGCCCCGAGGCTGTGGCGGCGATCTCAAACGAATCAGACGATGCTAACAGCGACCCGCATATATCATTTCATTCGTTTCACGGCAAAATACCAACTTTATCTAAAACCCCACATAATACTTACCAACATTGACAAATATTGTGTACCTACATAACTATGCGTAAGGTATTCCAATACTATTTTTTATGGCAACGCTGTAGGTAGCTGTAGATAAGTACTAATTTACTTTACTCCCACTGAAAGTACATCGAAGGTTACGTTTTAGTAAGTGTACTACCACCTACTGTTGACAAGTCGCCAAGCTGCCAAAGTGAAACATCTGGAAACATTTTGTACCTAATCCTTCTATCGTCGTATCCTAATCTTTATGTAATAAAACAAAAGTGGTGTAAGAAGCAGCAGTAGATAGTATTAATTCTGATCAGATTAACGCGTCCACATAGAGCAAGTAATAATACAATGAATGCGCTCCCTCGGGCAATCAATGGGAATGGGCGTCTTGAGACACAATTAGGTACTAGGAATAATTAAACTCACACTGAAATAAAATCTTAGAAAATGGTGGTCGTGAGGTGCACAAGACGCTCGTGGCGCGCTGATCTGTACATAAAGGAACCCGATAGCAGAGGTCGAGCACTCGCGCCGCATCAGCGATCAGATCTCCAGAGAACCAGTTCGAGCGGGTCGTGGAGGCTGGCCAGCCGCCACACGTGCAGACTCAGCCTGGGCCAGATACTTACGGAATCAACGATCGCTACGCGCCATACATTAGTACAATATAAATATATTCCAATTCAATCACCCGTGAATTAAATACACCGTGTGACGAATGTTTATCTTTCTTTAGCCATTCATTACAAAGAATATTGTGAAATTCTAAAGATTTTTATTCATATAAGTACAATGGACAGTAATGAATGGTCGGGATCTTGGCGCTACAACTTTGTTTGGGAAGTCGATTCTACAGAGCAGCAGGGCCGCATTCAGAGAGAGCAGAGCGAGCCCCGCGCGCGCTTTGGCCGAGGGGCCTCTGGAAGGGACGTTATAAATCTTATATGTATGTACTATACTTATTTTTTTACTCTCTCGGCTACGTTTTGTTCATCTTCACCTGTAGGTAATGAAATGTGTTGTGTGTGGGGTAGGTATATAGTGCTTATAAGATTAATATAAAGGAATTTCCCTAATAGAGCTCGGTGTATGTCGATAAGCTAGTGCTAGCAGTGACTCATGATTAGTGGCAAGTGCGCCGCTTCCCCTTGCTGCTCCTCCGGTGAATGAAACACACGATGCTATTTATGTTCTTATACAATTCACTTCATAAACACGTCATGACGCTAACTAAAGCATAAAATGAATTTTACAAATAACTAGAGCCATCAAAAATAAATAATATGAACACATTGATGATGCCGCCAGCACGCAGCGCCTCAGTGGGACCCTGACTTTGTTTTTTGTTTACTGTTATAAACACAATCACATCCCAGACTAGAAAAAAACATTTGGTAGCTCATATAAAGTATAGAATTTCGTGCGAGCATTGAACCTGTGACTGCTTCAGATGTGTATTATTAATAATCGCTAAAGAAATGCAAATATAAATGTAAAACTACAAAAAACATAATGTTGTACATTAATTATGTACAACGATGTGCAATTGTAGAGAGTAGATGAATGCAAGAGATATTGGTCACTGTTTTGTTGTTCACATAAATTACAATTTTGTGTTCTGAAACGATTGTCTATAATTTCTGCAATAAAAAGATCCACGTTGCTGGTAGGAGTTTCAATGCATGGCACCACCCAGAGGCTGCTTCCACAGGTTCTGGAAGAGCGGGCTCTATCCAAGCCCATCTGTGCGAGGTGACCCTAGCAACCAGATAAGTCAATTATGGCTACTCAGTACCTGCGCGCTGCGCGTGCGTGGAGTCGCAGTACTTGTTACTACAGCAGTTACTATTCTGTATAGAAATTTATCTTATATTGTGGTGACTCAGTGCCCGAAAAGTGCGCGCTATGTGGGTGGTTGCACAGTGACCTACATTTGACCTCCACTTAGTAATGTTACTGCTATACACGCATGCAGTACAGCTGGACTGCTAATTTATATGTCGACATTATAATGACGCTTTTTAAGTACTAACATTAGGGTGAGTTTGTAAGTAATTATTATCGAGCATCCTTACTGCGTGGTATCCCCCTCCACAATCGCTTCAGAAGCAGTTCCCAATAGCAGCGTTCAAAACAATAGACAGCTGGCTCCTGCATCCGGCGGCCGGCAACAGACCCGCATGCGCGTGTGTGTGCGTGTGTGACGTCACTGACGCTGCACACAACTTGTCCGCTTGCACGGGTTGCGGGCTCCGGCTCGCCGCGCCGCTGCGTCTCGTCTTACACTTTATTCTCTTACAACACCTACTGCCATCTATCGGCAAATATGTTCGTTCGCAACTCGATTACCTCTGAAAATTACAAGGAAGACGATATAGTGACTGAGTGATACGAATTCATTGCAACGGGACAACAATAATGGGACACAAATAATACAGTACGCGGAGTACGACTCAGGCGGTGTATGTATTGTACGTGTACAGGCAAAACTTAAGCTTTGTTTACGCAGCTGCCGACTGCCTGACGCGAGAAAGGAAACTTTTTGTAGTACCTTCTTACACCAATAAAGTGGTCGTAATGAGAGATATAACTAATGCCATACCTACAGCTATGTATTAGATAGTTAGATTGCGCCTTGGTCCACAGTACGGAATGAAGCATTGGGAATATTGGGATTTGTGACGCCGACCTATTAGCGACAACGCGCGACGTGTCACGCTTGTTGTGTCGGGTCCCTTACAAAGGGGTCTGAGCAATGTCGTGCAGGCGAACATTCAACTGTCTCGGAATCCGAAAGCAAATCAATAAAAAATAGATAAACTAGTAGTTATTATACAATCTGGAGCCGACGGCGGCGGGACTCTGAGCTAGCGAGCGGGGCGGAGAGGACAGTCACCCCCGGGCCCGCGCGCCCCCGCGCCGCGCCCCGCGCCCCGCCCCCGCCCCGTCCGCTGAGTACCATTAATCAGCCGTCATGGACACGATGTGCTGCCCCGGATATATTGATGAGCTCTGATGGAATATAAATGGCTTGAGAAACGTGATATTTTACCAAATTGCTGCTCCAACTAAAGCGAGGTTAATGAAATTGTACGCCCCGAAAGTAAAACTATCAATCTGAATAGTTAATGCGGAGCGAGTTCAGCTAATGTCAGGCGACGGGCGAGGCAGCGTGTGCGCGGAACAAGTCGCGCTAACCGTTGTTTTATACTAATCATTGACACGGTAATGGCGCCAGCGACGTGGCCGAGCACCACACACGGACGTGGCAAAGTAAATAAAAAAGAAACGAGGCCCCACGACAGTTTATTTGGCCCTGTCGTGAGCGTGTTACCAAACATAGATCCCACATGCACATCACACCTGGATCCGAAAGTTCACTTGGTGGATCGCACAATAATGATGAATAATTTCGTGCGAGAATTGAAATAATTATATTAGCAACAACTAAATAGTTACCGTATCTATGTAAAGAATAAGAATACAATCTCTCTTTAAGACGCAACAACAACAAATGTTGCCTGTCTACACGTGTGTCATGAACAGGTTACGGGTACTACGTTTGACTTACAGCAGCAGGCAGTATGGTGTCTGCCTATGTGGCTAAGTGTTTAAGAAGAAGTTGTAGCATATTCGGCAACGCACTCGTAACTCCTTCTTTGTTGCTGGTGTCTATGGGCGACGCCGATTGCTTACCATCAGGTAATCCGTCTGCTAGTTTGCCGTCCTATCACATAAAAAAAAGTATGTACACTTACTACACTTACACGGCTAACCGCAATGTATACATCGGCTTATGTAAAAATGTATATTGTATAAAAATCCTAGGGATCGTTAGCAAACCTTGGCTATCGCTTCTGCCTCCCTGAGTAAGCATAAGTTAGTGGCGGCTCCAAGCGGCCAGTATTCGAAACATTGCTCAGAATTGTGAAGTGAATATAACACGAAAAAGTGTGGCTAGATGGCGCTGTTTACACGGGAAAACGCTATGATGGGTTGTGGTTACAATATGTTTTAAAATAAATAAATCAATTACAAACAATGACTTATTAGGTATTTAATATCACAGTCACAAAATCACAATATTGTCTGTTAGCACAACACCGAGGCAGCAGGCGAACATACGATCGAGCAAATCTTACGCATCATCTAGTTGAGACTTTATGGTTCAGCAGCAGATCACGTATCTCCTGCCCGGAATGGCCAGCGGAGTAAGTTAAACGGGTTGAAGACTCGCAGCTGTGGTGTCGGCGTGGCAGGCTGCTGGTACTCGGATGTGTAAAGGAACATTCCGTGCTCGTTGGTGCTGCACGAGTACCCCATTACTGTCTCGTTGCCGCTGCATTCGTTCTGCAGGAGCTCCTCCCAGCTGGAACATCGTCGGCCCATCAAGGACCTGTCATTGACGGCGGAGGCAGAGTACAGCTTCCAGGCCTGGGCGTGGTCGCACTCGAGGCTGATACTCCTGTCCTGGCACTCGGGCTGCTTGCCGCGCACGCCGTTCACGTATACGTCGGCGTGACCCAGCGGCTCCTCTATGCCGAGCACGCCGCTATTGGAGTGTATGACGTGCACGAACTGCGCGTCCTCCCGCGCCAGCCGGAGCTGGGGGCGCGCGAAGCACGGCCGCGCCGGGTCCAGCGCCGTGATCCGACCTAGTGTCGTGTTTAGGTTTTGTCTTACCAACTTTCCCGTGAAGCCGGCGACGTGAGCCCCCAGACTGAAGCCTATCAGGTGGATCGATGACACCGGGTATCCTGATTTATGCAACTTCTGTATAAATCCGAAAAGCAAATGCGAGAGGGGCGGCACGTTAGACACGGCGGTGACGTAACCTCGACAGAAAGACAGCCGAGTGTCGAGGAGGTAGACGGAGGAGTGCTTGGTCATGAGTGCGTTGACGATGGCCTGCGAGGAGGGATCGTCGGGCGTGTTCCACCAGCCGGGCACGTACAGCACCAGCTCGTCGGAGCGCCGCAGGCGGGCGCGCGCCGCCGCGACGCTGACCGCGCGCCGCCCACTGCGGGAGTACCGCACCATCCGCGTCAGCGGCAGCTCCAGCGACCTCGTGCGGGAGAACAGCAGCTGCTGCGGGACTGCCTCGCCTGCAACATTGTGGTCATCTTATATTTAGTTCTTCAGGAATAATCATAGCATGCGCCGTAAGAATATTATGACGACCAATGTAGCGACCTCATACAAAATTCATAGAAATGTATCGAATCCGACTAGTTGGAAACTACCGGAGTATTTCAAAATCATAATATCATCGAGCTAAAGATACCCAAACTTGGTTTCAACCATCTAATGACATGGATGAATAATGGATCTGAAATTATTATGTTTTTGGACTTTATCATCAATTGATACAATATGAAAGAGTATATCATATTCCACGATCACCGCAATGTCACGTGGACGCACAGATGTTACATGAATGGAGTTGGCGCTGTGCAGTGCCCGTAGAGTACAGTTTGTGGGCAGGTCAAGTAACATTGGTGTCAGTCGCCCACTCGTAGGAGGGGGGGGGGGGACTCTTTGTTGTTGCTGTTCAACTTACTGACACTGACCTCTGCCGGCTGACTACTGAGATTACATCATAAATTCCGACTGAATGTTGCGTCTTATTATAATATCTACTAATTAATTTAGATGAGGTATTATTAATAATTAACCACTGCTGATGACAATGAATATTAAGGCATTAATTACGGCGAGACTGCACGCGGTTGGAACTATTGAAAGGTGGTACAAGGAGTTTACAGTTTATAAAGATTTGTGTTGACTGAGGTACATAGGTACATAAATATCTACGATCGATTGGTAGAAAGTCGCGAAAGGTGGAAGACCCTCGCGGCCCTTTGCTGCAAGCGACCACCTACCACTTTGATATACTAAAATAGTATGTATATAGATAGAAGATTTAAGTAGTCCAAAACTTTCATGTGATCCAGTTGGATTTTGTCACAATACTTAATTGGTTCCCGCTGGTGCAGGGGCAGGCGTTAAGATGCTGATTTTATTATAAAATATGTGGAAAATGGTTACACTAAATATATTTGGCAAACTGTTATTCTGTTAACGGTAGACAATGCTCCTTGAAGTAACCAGCCTCGGAGCCAGTGAACGCGTTAAGCAGCTTATAGGCCGTTCACACCTGGCGGCAGCAGCATCAGCCCACTCAGTGGTCGCCGCCTGCATCAACAGTACAATGCTCTCGCTCTATCATCGCGCTCAAGTAATATTTAATTGTCTGAACCTCAGCTGTTGGTCGCCGAACTCATTTTCTAATTAGGTAACCGTCCGAGTTGAACGGTACCACTATCTCACCTGGTGGGGACGGAAGGTGTGTGGGATGGAAATGATCCTGGGGAACTCAACCTTGACCCGATTACTGCATTATCTACACTATAGTATCTCTCTATACTTCTGTCAAATGAAATGTCCCACAAATCATAATAATAAATGTTTTGTTTTGCATATTTCGAACATCTGTGTCATAGTTTACCTAATGCACTCATTTCTATTTTGTCCAACAAGCAATTTACTGCTTCTTTCCGCTTTGTGTGTTTAATGGTTTATAACTGTTTAACTCGGAAATCGACGGATCGGAATCGGAATCGAATCAAACTCGGAGATGAGGGCACAAAGCACAACACATGTGGAACACTAGAGACACGTACAGCTTGCTGAGGCGGCCTTTACGAGGTCGTCGAAGTGTGCGCTGACGAAGGGCGGGAGTATGGCGCCGAGCACGGAGAGCGAGTCCGGGGGCGGGGGCGCGGCCAGCGCCAGCGCCGCCAGGGTGAGCGTCGTGGTCGCCCGCGCTGCCATCCGCGCGCGTCTCGAGCCCGCCACTGCGCCCGCGCTGACGTAACTCTTCGTTATAAACAACACCGACCATCGCCCGAACTGTACCCTTGATACTCAACCACGGACACGCGCCACGACCACACAGCCAGAGAAGATCCACTCTTGATCGCACCGAATAACCGTACACTTTAACACCCATGCTAACTTTTGAGCTTTACTCTCGGTTTCATAAAACAATCAATGTGCTGCCCTTGTACCAATCTGTTTCATAAATACACATTTTGGCTTTACACAATGTTTACTGATTTGGCAGTAAGAAATCAATATCAGAATTATAAAAATCGTAATCATTAAAAGTCGGCAGTTTGAACCTTCTGCAGTTGTTGGCGTGTGGCGCGCGGCGCGTCTGATGTGAATTCAGCGAGCTGTGTATCGTGCTCGGCAATTGTGTGTTTATATAAATCATAAGGTTTTTGTTAATGTTGCAGGCTTGTTGTGTCGTGTGATTACAATAGTAATAGCTTCAGGCAGCGCAGAGATTCAGTGCTCAGCTATTTGTCACTTCCGACGGAATATTTGATAATTATTTGATGAACTCCATGAGTTTTTTCCGTCAGCATTTGGATTGTAGTTGCAGTGCTTCACCTTCTTTTGCATCTATAACATCGATCACTAATAAAGAACTTATTAGTGATCGATGATCTATAAGCAATTAACCAGTAGGTATATTGGTTTCGGCAATGACTGCTCCGCACAACTACAAAATAATTAATTTAAATGTAGGATGAATTTGCTGGTATATGTGGTCAATAGGTGCTGGGTGTGTGTGTATACATAACACGGGTTTCCAGTCATTTCCAAACGTTGGTTGCTCGAGCAGCTTCCAGTAGTGCGGTCACAGGGCCTAAACTGGTAGAAAAAAAGAATTCGCTATTTTCCGTCCGTTGCTAAATTTGTAAAACCTGATTATCTTCGAAAATTTTACAAAAACATGAAACCAGTTTGTACAAACAAAATAATCGATTGTTTATGCACTGTATCGGCTTGTATCTAACGGCTGCAGTCACGTCTCGGCCGACGTCACGTTTCCTGTGCCTGCATGTTCTTCTAGAACCATGCTGACTCATGTGATAACATCGTGTGATATCCGTCGAGTATCAACATTTACGTGAGAGTATACTAACATTCTCCACGTACGTTAGCGCTCACCGCGACTCGGCATACATTATACATACAAACTCAAATCCCATCAAGTATTGAAACCTCGCCAAATCGAAATTGCGGTCGAGAGCCCGATATATCAAAAATCGCGTCCGCTCGATACCGCGCGGCGGGCGGCGGTTGCCCGCGGCTCCGCATACACAGCGACGGGTTAAGCCTATGTGGGCAGTACATGGCGGCCGGAACTATTGTAGCCCGCTACAACTGCACTGACACCAATTATATTCGGCACTTCTCCAAACAAGCTGCGCTCTCAAACGATGCCCTCTGTTTGAGTCTCCTTTAGTTTACGTAAGTACTTGCAGGAATTATCTGCACTCGCAGACAAATGTGAATGACGTAAGATCTTACAGACTAAACCACGTTGTCACAGTAAGATTAAGATTAGCACCATCATTACAGAATGGAGCAGCTCTAACGATCCACAGTCCGACAGAGGGCGCGCAGGTGTCGGGAGCGATGATCTCGTGTAATGTGACATCAGTAGGGCAGTCACGTTGTGCGTCACTCAGTGTATGGGATGATCAGCCATTAAATATACGAGCCAGCGCCGCCGCCGGCTTTCCCCGTTACAATAACACTTGTACATGCAACGCATTTTTCTTGATACAGTGCCGGATTAGGCCTCCGCTGGCCCGCGGCCACTAGCAAGTTCTATACATATAGGACATTATAGGTAGCTTGATCTGCTGAGTTCGAAGCATAAATGTTTTCCGTCGCGTGAGCAGAACGCACATACTTGTCTATATTAAATTAATTAAATCCAACTCTCGCTTTCACCAGTTACACATTGTAAGTACCCAATGGGCGAGCCAAGAACTCAGACCCGCAGCAATTACTGGTCAGGCTACATGGTTAAACTGGCGCTATAAAGTTATGTTTTTTCATAGAATTATTATTTGTCGTATTCGCGGAACCGTAGCGTGACAGTAAGTGTAATAAAATATGTTAAAGGACATCTGATACCGAAACTTCAATATCGATGCCACCGAGAGTCGACCTCACTATTGGAAGAGCATTAGCGGGCGGAACCAATCCACTGCATCTGTTCACGAGACTACTACTATTGTTGGTATTCGCTTTAAGGTGAACTGGTTTGAGCAAACCAACTGACACAGATCTCGCAGAAGGTCAATGACTCAATCTAAATCTATTACATCATGGAAGTATAACCTTTGCGGGTTCCGAGTGTGTAGTGTTATCGAACGGAATGCAATACTGGACCGCGTCACGCGAGGCAGAGGGGCGGCGTCCTTCATAGCAATACCTCCGCCGCACCGCGCCGTGCGATATGAGATTCCGATGTGATACACACCCGCCTCATTCATCACGTACGTGCCGCACTCCACCCTGCACTACACACAGCCTGCTGTTACAGGCGCTGTTGTCAAAATACATATCTATAGGTACATATACATAAGTGAATATTTTGCTAAACATTGGATAACCCCACTTATATTATATACCCACGTCATTCTTCAAATCGTTAATCGTTAAAAGATATGACTGGTGCAATATGACCAAGTTCAAGTGCGGCGCCGATTGTTGCGTCAGGTAATGGGCCTGCTTGTTTGCATAATCTGTGTATGACATAAAAATCCTATGAGGCTAATGTGGTGTTCATCCGGCGACAGCGGCATCCAAGTGGCTGGTGCGTGCTGTGGGTTTAGCACAACCGCGTTTCGTGAGAGTGTTTGACCTCTCCCGAGCTCTAGTTAGGCTGCGGTCGCCTGAGCACAAAGGAGTGTTGTTGTGAGAGTGCGGCGCGTGTAGGTGTGGGTACAGTCGGCTCCAGCAGACAGGCCGCGCTGGGCTGGCACGCTCGGCACGCACCCTCCCTCCCTCGCCCCCCTCCCGCTTCACATTCCCGCCGGCTACGCGACTGCACGAAACAGCGGCTAAACATTTAAATTATGTTCCCTTTGAAATGTTATACATCTTTTTAAGGAATTCTTATAGCTATACATATAATTACATCACGGCGGGACGCAGTGCCGCCTACATAATCTGCTCCAAGATTCGGGAATGAAGTTTTAAAGCAAGGAATACAATAATAGAGTCAGCTACAGTCAGTGGTTAATCATCTGTAACCATTAATTACCCCCGGTATAATAAAAAAAAATTGACATTGAATATTTTTAATACTATAAAAAAAATAAAGAGGTTCTGATTTCATATGTATAGGTTGCGATATATCGGCGGCATTTAGAGGCCTAGGTATATGACATATTGTATTAAGTGCGAATGTGTATAGTGTCGTCGTGGTCCACAAATGTGTTTTGTTTTAATGTCATACGGCGCCGGCGCCGCGGCGGCAAAGATTAACATCGGGTCACCTGTCTACTGGTTTACCGCTCATAGTAATGGGGATTTAGAACAGTGGAAAGGGTAGGTTTGGGCCTCCAGTAACGTCACTCACGCGGCGAAACACAACGCTGAGGTTGTTTCGGTGGAACCAATCCATTCGAGCCGAAGCAAATTATTTCAAGAACCTCCTCAAAAGTCAATAGTTTTGGCTCTTCTATTAGGTTTAGGTGATGCAATACGAGTATATTTGCGAGAGCACACTGACCTGGCACCCTGTACCTGCTGCTCCGAGCCAGGCCGTGGTACATTTTTGGTGATGGGGAGCTTGAGTTACGGATGTAGTGTTGTCATATTAGACTGCTTGAATAACTCTGTGTGATCCAGAAATTGTTCTTTCGGGCTGGCAAAGCCGACGTAAACCGAAACCGTGCGTGTGGTGAGGTTGACGGAGATTATATTTCGGAGTCAGCTTTAATTATAAATATCTGACTTCGTGATTATGGTAATATCGTCAGCCAAGTTATTGTGTAAGATTTGCTCGAGCATGCCTCGCCGGTCGCCTGCCCGTCGCTACGCGATACTTAGAAACGTTGACTTATTTTGAATGCACGTATGCATGTCACTGAATAAACGGATTACGGCTGGGTGATCGAGCCGAGATCAGCAATAAGAGCAAAGCGCGGCCTCCAACTGAAATAAAGTATGAAATGTTCGTACAGCAGTGAGTACCGTCGCGGACAATCAAATCAATAAGATGATTACTTACATTGTAACGACGCGAAATAAGGGAAAACTTCCACTTTGTGGCAATTTGCTGAGAGACTACAATAAGTGGGTAATATTGCCCACTTATGGACGCGATATAAGCCAGCAGGCGGCGGCTGTCGTCGTGTCGAGGCCGCAGTGTGTCGCCATGCAGCCCGTGCAGGTCTCGGTGGCGCTCTGCTGTGTCCTTGGCGCGCTGCTGCTGCGCCAGGCCACCGCCAGCCCCGTGGTGAGACACAAACCAGCTCTTCTGAGCGCTCAGCGCACTTAAAATGAACATAAACATTCACGGGCCATCCAAACATCTTAATTAAAGAAATGACTAAAAGGTTTCTTCAATTAGATGCTATTTGTAAGATTACTTAGGGCGTATCAGGACGTGCTAGTGGTGCATGGTAGGTGTGACGTGTGTGATGGCCCGCAGCCCCTGCAGCCCGAGCAGCGGCCGCTGTCGCTGGTGTCGGAGCTGAGCTCGCGGCTGGGAGCGCACCCCGCGCGGCTGCAGGACGCGCGCCTGCCGCTGCCCTCCTCGCAGGACCTGGAGGCCATCAAGAAGGTCGCGCAGATTCTCGTCACTCTCGGACAGCAGGTACTCGGCTAGGGTATGTTTGTATTAATATGTGTGATGGACCACGGGAGAGATAGTCTGTCGCTTACGGAACTCATAGAATCTAGTTGTAACATATCATGGTCCTGAGCTGAGCAAGGCGAGGTCGCGGTGCGCACATACTTAACGAATATTGATGGATGAGTAAGTGGGTCGGCTGGTGGAAAGTGACGAGGATAGGCTTAATGAGCTGCGCGTTGTAACGCGAGTGGGAGGAGCGTGGCTCGGTAACAATAAATCGTAAACGTATGAGCTGTGTATGGGATTACCGGCGACAGCGTGTCGGGTCGCGGCTCACATCCCTAAAGTGATCGACAGGACAGATGTATACGCGATATTACATTATGTACGCGATGCTGGAGTTACAAAAAAGGGTTCAAATTAAATGCGACCCTTTCTCCCTTCACGTCGACTATAATCTCAGTCCCTGTGTAAAGAGCACCCGTGAGCATTGACTATTGTTGTATTTTTGTTAAATTCTTTATTGTTTGAAACGTCGATTCCAGTTTGACAGTTTCCCGACAATAGTCCCACAAATATAATATTGTAGCCATCGCCGTCGTAGGTAAATAATGTCGTCGCGCTACAAGCTGCAATTACTGCGGCGGAAGTTTTGTATTCCGTGTTCACATATTGTAAGTGTGTATGTACATATAATTATATGCTCTAACATTACCCACATTACTTAAATGTTACTTAGACAGACAAAGAACTGCTTCTCGAATAATGTACAAGGATGTAGGCTTTTACTCTTCCGAGCATAACTAGGAACAGGAAATATCTTCAGTTTGGTAAAGTAATGAATGTTGTACATCGAGAAGTTTAGATATTAATAATAATAATTAGAAGCTGGGTGTAGTCATTATGATGACACAATGGAGCCATGAAGCAATCAGCCCGGATTGTTTGCTTCATGAGTGGAGCATACGGTGGGATGTGCCCTGCTTAAGATGAGCGAGCACCGCCGTGACTCCTGTGTCCGCCTTGAGTCGAGGCCATGGTTTGGAGCGAGAGGAACTGGGATGCCGTCTTCTCTTTTTGCGAAGCAGTGATGCTCGCAAATAAGGGAAATCTCCCCCTCAAGCCCCAACCGCCGCAGAGGAGCCACTTGTCAGAACCGAGCGTACGGTGCGTAGCATTATGCGAAGTTCTCAAAGAACCAACAGAAGCCACAGATAGGACACAATAGAACTGACATACAGCCGGCTTGCATGTCAACCACAGTAATTTATTGAGCTCTGAAAGAAAGTTCTGTTTCGGCATGTCCAATGTGTGCTTTTTAAATGTATTAATGAATAATTGTTTTCATTTTTGGCGTTACAGGTGATACCCGGTATCATAGGCGAGCCGGTGCCGGCGCCCGGGGGCTGCGAGCCGGCGGCCGGCGGCGGCGGGGACGACGTGCCCAACGACCCCGTCAATGTAGACAGACAACCAGCCTAGCTGTCTTCTATCCTCTCGAACTAGTACTATTATCCTCTAACTAAGCTATTATTTGATTTTAAAACATGTATAGTCTCAATACAGGTAAAGGGTAGTAAACTATGCATACAATAGTCAGATGGGTTCACATAAAGCAGGGTCCACCCACAGTAATGACGGCTGCTAGTGTGTACATGTGTGTATGTGTGCATGATGACACACACAGGGCGCCTGGCCTCTCCACATGACTAGCTCGAGACTGTATGATTTAGTGCCGAGCAAGATTACACAGGCTTTTTTTAAAGAAAATGTTCAGATGTGCTTATTACATAGCGATAGAAGCCAAAATATGCAGGTACTGGAGGTATTGAAACTATTAAGTATATAAAGGTGTATGTAATATGTAAGATTCGGTATTGTATTGTATTATAACGACGTAGGTAAGTAGGTACATGGCATGTAAACATTAGCGGCATCCGCAGATAATGTTCTTACTCAAGGTAAATAAATATTTGCAACAAGTGAATTTATTTTAATTTATGCTAATGCAGCGGATTGTGTGTGTGTGTGTGTGTGTGTGTGTGGCGCACGGCTTGGGGCGGTCAGATGTTTGTATGTGTGTGGTGTTGCAGACCCATACGTCATCGACAGGTCGACACAGACAGACAGGCACGACGTACGTAAGCTGTAGCAATTTATCAGGAACTTACATGTTGTAGGCAAGTTGTTAGTTGTAGTTCCCGACTTAACGAGACAACCTCGACCTCGGCCGCATTCAATGAACACAATCAAACTACAACGACGGAAATACAAAAGAACTGCCTAAGGTGCCAACTAACATATTTAAACCGACTACCTGTGGATTATTTTACACAAGGCTCTCGTCCTCTTTGTGTTTTGCGAAGTAGGATCCGAACCAAGGATCGAACAAAACACATCAAATACAATCCATTCAATGGGTGACAGACATACAAACTTGTTAAACTACATTTGAAGTAACAACTACTTTGTTTTTGTGAATAATTAAGCAATTACAGTGATACGTCGAGTGGAAATGCCGTGACGTCACGTCTCTCATATAACTTTATTATGCTTAATCTTTTCGTATGTTGTATTGTAACGGATGCACTTTGTGCAGACTATGTATATTTCACATCACATCACATCATCAGCCCATAAGTGCCCACTGCTGAGCAAAGGCCTCTTCTCACGCAGAGAAGGATTGAGCATTAATCACCACGCTTGCTCAATGCGGGTTGGCGATTTCAAACTTATAATTAGAAATTATAAGTCCAGGTTTCCTCACGATGATTACCGTCACCGTTTGTCAGTGGTGTCTAAATAATCATAGAAAGTACATATAACTCGGAAAAAGTCACATTGGTAGGTACTTGGCGGTTCGAACCTACGGCCTCATGCATGAGAAGCGGGCTCCTTAACCTCCAGGCCACCACGACTTCTTATGTATATTTATTTTGAATCTAATTTATATTGTTCATTGAGCTCTAGTGACTGAATGTTACTTTAAACCTTGTCTCATATATTTAGTTGACGCGGTCTCTGTGAGGCGCGGTCATTCAAGTTCGTGAAGTTGCTGTCTATTTAATATAGAATACAAGCAACGTTTGAATCCCATTAACATTAACGGCGACACAGTCATGTGGTCGGACGAGGTCAAATCTTGTCGATTCATTATTTTAGCGTTTGTTAACAAGTGTCCACTTCTGTGTCATTATTTGCTTTGTTGACAGTTCTACAATTATTGCTTCCTACTGTAGCTCCAGCCGCTGTGTCACCGCGAGTGGAGATTTGTGATAATGTTCGTCACCGTGAAGCACGTTACACAACTGCTCAAGCTGCACGATGTGAGGCGGCAGGCTGTGTCCGACGACTCCGCTAATTACTTTGTCTTTGAGCATAAAGTTGCCACGTCACTGCGCCGGACGGTTTAATTCCCATTCAGGCTGTATCCTCGATTTAATGCTGCCTATGTACACTCGCTAACTAATTACATCTTTCCAACCGTGCATCGCAGCTATGTGTAATTATACAAACGTGGATATTAGCAGAAACGAGAGTCATTGTTTAAGACGCGCTAGTTGAACACAATGTCAGAGATCAGCTTGACCTGGATGAGTGCTGTACGGCTGCACCAGCGCTCGGCACCGCTCGAGCCTATTGGGAGGCAACCTACGGCGAGCCGGCGAGCTGGAGGTCAATCCGTCTCCCCAAGGTCTCCAGTAATATGTAAATGATTGTTAGGTCGGGTGTATGATGCACGCGGAACACGGCCACATCGCTCGTCATTGACATATCTGTACGAGGCGAGATTAAATTCAATCATTCACTGTTAAAAGGTCTTCCAAATATTTATTATGTACTTAACCTCGACGTTAATATTATATATAATAGAGTTGAACTTTATTTGATTAGGCTAGGCTTCGATAAGTTAAGTAAGATAGTTAATGTAAAATGTTGCCAAGACAAAACCATGTAGCTTCACTGTCAAACAGCAATTAGATCTCATGTAGCGCCAAGGTTTTGCTTAGCCTTAAATCTATTAATTTTAATAAAGAAGTTTGTTTAATTAGAATGATGCTTTCAACAGGAGACGTCGGTTTGAGTGTACTAAGCTACGTCGGTAGTGTCAGTGTATATATACAATATACATAATAATATATTGGTATTTTGGTATCACGTTACGTGTCACGTTATCGCGTCTCCCACGCGCGCGCCTTGTCCTATGTTCTAGGCTAGTATTGTATCTGATCGTTGATGTACGGCCGCTGATACCGCGCTGACACACCACACGCCATGCACACACCTGATTGTAATTATAGTCGGGGCAGGCGCCACGATCCTCAAGTACATCAAACCACCATATCTTCTAATAAACAGTACACACTGTACATATTCCATAAAGTTGATATTTATCTTTTTTGTGACACATTCCGTTCAGTGTAACGATCACTATGTTAGTAGTTATGTAATGAACCCCTTGTTAGAAGTGCGAAAACCTTTTTATATTCATCGGATAGTATACACACTCTATGCTACTGCAGACAACTTTGTTTATGAATCTCGTTAAATAGGCAACAGTCAGTAGAGCGCAGCATCCCCGCGCCGCGTCAGCTGACGAGTGACGCGCCACACGGCGCGCCGTCAGGTACATTAAACGCAAGTGACGCAGCCGCGTGTGACGTCATCAACTATGTGCATAGTAGCTGTTTCATTTAGCTTACGAGCTAAATATATGTTATTTGTTCCACACTACAATCTAACTCAGTGAAAATATAGGTTTTATGTGGAAAAGCATCAAACATCATCCATTCCTTTTCATCCATACTTTCAAGCTTTCGCATTTTTAATTATAACAATCATATATCAGTAGGTTGTATAAATAACTCGTATTGCATCCACACCTTCAGGGCATAAAAAGGTAAAGATATGGATGGGTGAGATGAACTGAAAAATGTTTCACTGTAAAATATCAAACTAGATAGGCAGAGGTAGGTTACATATTTATATATTAATAACACAACTGAAAATTAATAATTTCTATGAAATAACTAAAGCTAGAAAGTAATACAAATAATATTTTTTGTTAACCCTCGTGTCTCATAAATGCCATAACTGTAAAATATTTTATTGATGTGACCTTCAGCGCCATCTACAGTACAACGTCAGCGTTACAATGCTTTACATCACAATGTAGTCGCGGCGCGCTGCGTGCGGCGGGCCGCGTGTACGGCGGCGCGGTATAGATGGCGCTGTACGGCGGCGCGCGAAGTGTCGCAGCCAGCGGTACGTGGCGTGGTACACCAGCTCCCAGCAACTCACTAGCGTGATACCAGTTATAGCCATCCACTGGCAGCTTAGCTTCACTGGAATAATAGGAGCGAACACATAGAAGATAGAAAATCGCCTTCTTTGGAATCCCTAGCCTTATCACAATTTGATTCAAGATACTAATAGAACTACTGTATACATATTACGATCTTACCACAAACATCAGACAAGCGCGAAAACACCTCCACCTTATACCACTGCTGACGGTCGACGCCGTAGAACAGCCGGAGCGACGTCGTGCTCTTCAACGACATGTTCTTGCTGTAACACAAATATTGTTTGTCAAGTAATCCTCTCATTAATATATTATACAATACTTGTTTTAGCCCGATAAGTGAATAACCGGAGGCCTTTAAGTGTGGCAGAGCCATGCTTCGGCACGAATGGGTCGGCTCGACCGGAGTATTACCACGGCCTTACAGAAAACCGGCGTGAAACAACCACAGCGTTGTGTTTCGCTGCGTGAGTGAGGTTGCCGGAGGTCCAATCCCTCCCCCTCCCCTATTCTTATATATGCAACCCCTATCCCCAAAAGGCCGGCAACACACTCGTAACTCCTTTGGTGTTTCGGGTGATTGCTTACCATCAGGTAATCCGTCTGATCAATCGTTCCTCCCATTCTCAATCCCCAAATATGTCCTTCACTTCTCCGGTTTTGCGAGTACCTACACATGGGCGCCAGGTGGATCTGCCTGTTAACCTTCATTCTTCATAAATCCTATACTACGGATTACAAAAAAAAATGTATAATATCCTACGAATCAGACGCAGTCGCAGTACTTACGTGAGAAAGTTTTGGAAGACGTGCGGCTTAGAGCGGTAGAAGGAGTAGGAGACGGTGGCCCGGTACTGCAGGCGCCGGCAGTGCACCACGCAGTCACACACCATGGAGTCCTGTTGCTCCTGGTTCAGCGACACGTCCGCCTCGTCGCCCGGGTACACGTACATGAACTTCTCTGTGTCATAGTGTATTAGTATTGCGGCGGAGGGCAGGTCGCTGGGGGCGGAGCAGTGCCTTACCTTTGTGCTTGCTGAGGCAGGCGAGCTCGTTGAGCGTGCAGGTGGCGGCGCAGTGCCTTACCTCTGTGCTTGCTGAGGCAGGCGAGCTCGTTGAGCGTGCAGGTGGCGGCGCAGTGCCTTACCTCTGTGCTTGCTGAGGCAGGCGAGCTCGTTGAGCGTGCAGGTGGCGGCGCAGTGCCTTACCTCTGTGCTTGCTGAGGCAGGCGAGCTCGTTGAGCGTGCAGGTGGCGGCGCAGTGCCTTACCTCTGTGCTTGCTGAGGCAGGCGAGCTCGTTGAGCGTGCAGGTGGCGGCGCAGTGCCTTACCTCTGTGCTTGCTGTGGCAGGCGAGCTCGTTGAGCGTGCAGGTGGCGGCGCAGTGCCTTACCTCTGTGCTTGCTGAGGCAGGCGAGCTCGTTGAGCGTGCAGGTGGCGGCGCAGTGCCTTACCTCTGTGCTTGCTGAGGCAGGCGAGCTCGTTGAGCGTGCAGGTGGCGGCGCAGTGCCTTACCTCTGTGCTTGCTGAGGCAGGCGAGCTCGTTGAGCGTGCAGGTGGCGGCGCAGTGCCTTACCTCTGTGCTTGCTGAGGCAGGCGAGCTCGTTGAGCGTGCAGGTGGCGGCGCAGTGCCTTACCTCTGTGCTTGCTGAGGCAGGCGAGCTCGTTGAGCGTGCAGGTGGCGGCGCAGTGCCTTACCTCTGTGCTTGCTGAGGCAGGCGAGCTCGTTGAGCGTGCAGGTGGCGGCGCAGTGCCTTACCTCTGTGCTTGCTGAGGCAGGCGAGCTCGTTGAGCGTGCAGGTGGCGGCGCAGTGCCTTACCTCTGTGCTTGCTGAGGCAGGCGAGCTCGTTGAGCGTGCAGGTGGCGGCGCAGTGCCTTACCTCTGTGCTTGCTGTGGCAGGCGAGCTCGTTGAGCGTGCAGGTGGCGGCGCAGTGCCTTACCTCTGTGCTTGCTGAGGCAGGCGAGCTCGTTGAGCGTGCAGGTGGCGGCGCAGTGCCTTACCTCTGTGCTTGCTGAGGCAGGCGAGCTCGTTGAGCGTGCAGGTGGCGGCGCAGTGCCTTACCTCTGTGCTTGCTGTGGCAGGCGAGCTCGTTGAGCGTGCAGGTGGCGGCGCAGTGCCTTACCTCTGTGCTTGCTGAGGCAGGCGAGCTCGTTGAGCGTGCAGGTGGCGGCGCAGTGCCTTACCTCTGTGCTTGCTGAGGCAGGCGAGCTCGTTGAGCGTGCAGGTGGCGGCGCAGTGCCTTACCTCTGTGCTTGCTGTGGCAGGCGAGCTCGTTGAGCGTGCAGGTGGCGGCGCAGTGCCTTACCTCTGTGCTTGCTGAGGCAGGCGAGCTCGTTGAGCGTGCAGGTGGCGGCGCAGTGCCTTACCTCTGTGCTTGCTGAGGCAGGCGAGCTCGTTGAGCGTGCAGGTGGCGGCGGCGCGCGGCGCGCACTGCGGCTGCAGCGTGTAGGGCACGCACTTGCACAGCGCCTCGGCCGTGTAGCGCCGGCACTCCGCCAGGCACTGCGACATGCCGGCCGCGCCCAGCCGACACCCGCGCTGCGGACAACTCACGTACACCAAGTGCCGACCGGCCGGTGCCGCGGGGCTATTACTGTGTCTCACCCTCGTCTCGGAGTAGGAGCTGATCTCGTCGGCCGGCTGCTGCGACAGCGCCTGGATGTTGAAGTAGACGGATGCGTTGATCGGCAGCGGGTACACGCGCACGTCTCCGCCCTCCACAATCGGGAATTCACTGCCCTCGAACAATAGCACCTATCAAATTAAAAATATTTTGAGTACTTATGCAGCATCAACCATGTAACAATCAAAGGGAGGTTAGTCTATGCACAGTAAAGAACAGAGAGCGATAGATACTAATTTAATTAATAATCTTTCAGGCGAAATACAAAAACTGTATGAAAGCAAATATAGTGCATAATAATCTTGATAAAGTGTGGAAGAGTCATGCTTCGGCACGAATGGGTCGGCTCGACCAGAGTGATACCACGACTGATGACGACGATGACGGCAAGAAATTACTACAATTTGGGACGAACAAATAGCTTCATTAGAGGACAGACGGACACGTTTTAACATTTTTAAAATTAATGATTGTGGTTGAATGATGCGTGCCTTCAATGGTCAAATTGAAATAAAAGATTTGACTTTGAGTTTGAAACTTTGTCGACCTCCATGCCGTACGCGGGTCGTCGAATGTAAGCGAAGTCATCCTGCACCTCGTGGAGCACCGCGCCCAGCCCGAAGTCCTTCCCAGTCTGGTCCAGCACCACAGGCTCGCGGCCGAAGTCTGCGGGCCTGGATACCAGATAAACAACATTTAAAAGAACGTCACGCACTTCTTTTAGTATTAAACGTTGACGAGTAATATGTTGCATGCTCACTGGTATCTGGAGTTGAAGACGCAGCAGAAGCCGAGTGCAGTCAGCCTGGTCGCGAACAAATGCTCGCAGTTTCGTACCTTCCCGCGCCACGAGCACCGAAGCAGGATCTTCGAGCAGTTGGCTGAGAACTGAAGAGTATGGTCGTTTGCGTGTCATATACCCGCACTTTTATAAATATAACATCTAGCGCGTTATGTTAACGTTTTCCATGGCTTTTGCTAGTCTTACACAAGACAGACCGACAGCGTCCTTAATAAATTAAAAGTGATTATGAATGAATTAACTACACAAAATACAGGGTGTAAAAAGACACTTAACGAAGCCGTTAACTACGCATACTGCAGTTCTAACTAAGTAGCTTTACGCTAAAATTATCACTGGGAAACGACTTTTATTTTTAGGTATCAAAAAAATTAATAATTTTAATGCGCTCAATGTAAAGCAAACGGGCTTCGTGTCATTGTGTGCGTAGGTTGACAGCTTAGCATGAAAACGCTGTGATAACTACGTAGGTCGACGTTTTACTTCGCAACAACAAAACAATTCTGTAAAATAAAAATCCTACTGAGGTGCACGATGTTTTTTGTGCGGGTCTGCATTTATTTATTACGTACATTACTGTTCGTAACTTCAAATGCGTAATTTATTTAGAAAAATCGAAAATTCAGGTAATGTTTGTTTGGAAAAAAGTTTTGTAATAATACTTCGAATTCGATTGCGTAAAAAAATAAAAATAAAAATGCATCTTTGACCTTCAATATCTCGAGAATCCGTGGAGTCCCAGCTATGGTCTTGAAGAAAAAAATGATCCAAATAATGGGTAGAATACGTGGCTTTCGGCTTCGTTAAGTGTTTTTTTACACCCTGTATGTGAAATGGGCATACGAGCACAGAGAGATTTCTTTCATAGTTCGACATTAATCTTATTTAATAAGAATATCCTTAGAAAATCAGTTTGTGAAAAAACGGCCCCCAGGGTCGTACCCTGTACATGATGTCGGTGATGTTGAACTGCGGCATGCTCTCCCGCATGAACTTGGTGAACATGAAGTTGACGTCAGTGTACGCGTACGTCAGCAGCGCTCCCATCTTCACGAGATTGTCCTCTATCTCAGCCTCGGAGTATTGGTACCGCTGGTTGGCGGATGTGCTGGGGAAACATATATGTATTACTTTGGTGTTTCTACCTAACCGCCAGGATCACAATGAATGGAAAGTTCAATATTAATATTTATCAACTACAACGTTATTTGCTTCTTGTTCATTGAAGGACAAAGTTTATAAGAACCCTGATTTTTTGAAATTCACTCGTGCAAGTATCATCAGTCCGCTTCTGGTCAGTACCGGGCACGGCATTTTTCAATTTATCCATGTTTAGTTTGCTCATCCTTAAGTGATACAGGCTGAGAATAGTCTCATAGTTCAGTAAGACACGAGGCTGCGTACGTGTACAGGTGGCGCGTGAGGTTCCGCAGCGCCGCCCTGCTGATGACCTTGTTGCTGCAGATGGCGACGGCCGGGAACGGCGTGTGGGTGACGGACGTGGAGTGCTTCTGCACGTAGAGCGGCGGCCGCGCGCGGTACTGCAGCGCGCCGTCCGCCAGCGCCGCGCAGCCCAGCGCGAACGTTAGCGCCACCGCCGCCAGGTTGCGCCACCTGCCACCGCGGGGGAGCTGCTACTTAAACATCTCATGCTTGAGTCTCTCTCTCAGTTTCTTCGAATCAGTCACAGAACAACAATGTCCGATACCGCGCTGTGTATGTGCATTTAACATTTTATGTAAAATAATCAATACGCTATAGCTTATCGGATGGATCGGATCGGATCGACTCAACTTCATCCTATTTACCTCAGTTTGAATTGTTATCCCAATTATATAAGTAGTAGTAGGTAGTAACTGATCTCTATAGTTTTCAATGTTAGTACATCATAATATTTGTAACTAACCCTAACCCCGAACATTTATCTAATATTTATTTTATAATTTTCCATTTTCGAGATAACTACATATTTTGTGTTTAGTATATTGACATCTTACTTTTTATATTTATTGGTATCATCGTTTTTCATGTACTTGATGAACCCCACGGAGCAGTGGCGCCAGTAGTCGGCGGCGGCGTCCCGCAGGCTGGCGCGCAGGCGGCGCTCCAGCCCCGGGCGCGGCGTGCCCGGCCTCACCAGCGCCGACTTGTTCAGGTCGCGCGCCCACAGCTGGGGGTCCACGGTCCGCATGCTGCGCCCTATATCTATAGCTCGTGCCAGCCTGCCTGCACTGCTAGTGACTACCAGCGCAGCGCGCGGACTACTGCGTGACTAGTTCTCATTGCTACTATTACTGACCAGCTGCGGCTGAATTATTAAATATATAATTAGCTTTCTAATTATTTAATTACACTGCCATATAGTAGTATAAATATAAAATAGCATTAAAATTTCACATGCATATATTTTTAAATATTTATACATACACTATGGGACAAAGGTGAAAGAGATACATTTCGAATTTAAAAGGTTTATATTTATTTTATTTATTTCAATTACAGTAATTAGTTTTCCTAGAAAATAATAATAATGTTGAATGTAGCACTGTACGCTACGCACTGCTACGCCGCTACGCGCGATGCTACGACAGTCATGTAGGCGCACGCGCGGCTACTGGTTATACAATATGTATATTTATAATAGGTAACTACGCTTGGATAAGAATTAAACACATAGGTAATTGCTTTGGTAACTTTTATTTCATTCGCATCAGATATTTAAATCATTGTTTTTACATAATCTATTCACAATATTTTTAACTCGATGGTCAAAATTTACAGGTACATAAATACATACATATCTAAGTTAGTCTCTCATTAAAGGTAAAGTAGATTTAATATACGAAATTGCGAAAAAAAGGGAAATCATGTACATACATATATGTCTGAACTATACAAACACATAAAAATATGCACATGTATAGCATTAAGGCGAATGTCATCACACGCATCGCATACACGGTACATCGTTCTCTGATACTGCATACAAATGCACAACAGAAAATAAAAACAGAATTGTATGTGTACCAACTGCACGCTAGCACAGATGAATGTAGAATTGTAATACACTTATTAGAAAATAAATAATAAACATTTAATACAACAACGACCTACTCTAGAGCCTTTGGCTGCGCTACCCGCGCATTGCACGAGTGTGGGCTTCACTCCAGTGGAATTCATACTAGGGATAGCAACCTCAGCATGTATGAATCGAGACCTTGTGTCTAGGCAGACACAAGGGAACACGTGTCTCCTTACATATCTTGCTTGCTCCCTCTATAGCCTTGTTAATACTAATTACATTTAATGTAACTTCCGTACAACTCACCGAGCGAGGCACGATTCTGAATCGTTAGCCCTCGCCTACAGCTAACATTACTTTGTAAACACAAGAACAACAACAGCTTTACTACAAATACATTCGTTGCTCAACTCCGCTACACAAATGGTATGTATTAAAACCGAACATCAGTTGAATGGTATAATATGTGTGTGTGGATTAAACACATATAAGCTTACGATACATTGCGAATCCTATTAATATTATACATTTGAAAGTTTGATAAAATGTATGTTTGTTATACTTTCACGAAAAAAAGGATGGATCAATTTGGTTCAAAGGTATACATATAGGTAGTACATAGATAGTTGATACCCTGGATTAGCACATAGGCTACTTTTTATCCCGGCACTCATGTAGCGGGGCTGGGCAACAGCTGCGCGAGGGGTACACCGCCCTGTGGGCAGTGCGGGACTTGTTCCATGTATACATACACGGAGATACAAGTACACTACACGTAATACAACTATTTACATCAGAGATTTTTGTTACACCAAAAATATTTAATATTTTTGTGAAAATACATCTACATACGTTTTATTTTACCAGACTGTACAATATTCAAATTTCATCTAACCGAATATACGAAGCTCTGTCAATTTACTATAACTAAGCATTTACACTTTAACTAGATTTATGCACACCATTAAACATTTGTGTATGTGTGCTACATTCACAGAGTGAGAAAGAGCGTCGATCCAGAATATAAATGACAAGTGTCGCGGGAATTTATTTGCTGTCATCGTTTGAGGATAGGGCTCTGAACTTGTTACTACCAATGTTCACTCGCGCGACAGTGGCAGGCGTCGAGTGGGACGCTCCTTGATCTGACGGCTCTTTGTCCTACATTGGGGCGTTCTGATCGGCCGACGAGCTACTCTCGCTTGGACAGCAGCAACAGCCCTGTTTCGGTGGAAAGCAAATTTAATACATCTGACATATGTGTCTGTCTGCATAGGTACATGCAGACTGACGCGTAAGTGTTACCTCCATGGTGCTACGTAGACGTACTTACGTAGTAAGTAATATTCAAGTTTCTAGAGCGTCTCGTTTGGTGTGTGTCGGACTGGATTTTTGGTGACTATACAGCGTGAGCTTGCGTCCGCTTGGGTGGAACATTTCAGAGCTTGTCCTAATTAGCCTACACAGTCGGTGGATCAATCATAACTGCCTTAAATTGTAGTTACTGTCTTTATAGTCAGTATGTAACCATTATGAGCCTCTATTCTCCTCAATACAGTATAAGTTGAACAGGTACATTCCGTACTTTATATTTTACACATTTGCTTATTACATATGTACAGTTTAGGGACAACCACTTGGTGTCCGACTAAATTTTATCACTCCTCTACAAGAGTCGATACAGTATTATGTTTCATGAGAGAAGATCCGAGTGGCCGTAGTAGCCGGAGTGGGCGGAGGGACGCAGTGTCGGGAGCTGGTCCAGGCGGAAGTGGTCAGACGAAGGCAGGCGCGGGCTCCAGGCGCGGCGCCAGCTGACGTCACAGGCGCGCCGCCACCACCAGCGCCGCCACCGCCAGCAGGCACAGCCCGCTCACTCCCGCGCGGCTCGACTCCGACAGGATGCTCTTCCCTGCAAGGAACGTGTGCTGGTTAACTGTTGCCCTGGCAGTGAGCCAAGTGGCAGGGAGTGCTGGGCGTCCCCTTACATCGCTCGGCCAGCTTGCGATGGCAGCAGCAGTCGCGCAGACGCGCGTACTGCGCGCAGTCGTGCGCCAGGGGGCGGCAGCGGCGCGCGCCCACGTAGCAGGTGTGGGGCAGCCAGGGGAAGGGCTCGCGCACGAAGCGGCGCTCGCAGCAGCAGTGGTCGGCCAGCACGCGCGTCTCGCAGTACGCCAGCTCGCGCTCGCTGCATGCGCCGCAGCCGGGCCGCGTCGGGGGGACTGCGCAGACAATACACGTTCCTTCTAATGAAAACTGCAGGAACACATTATGCCATGTGCTGTGTCCTCCAACTGGCTATAGTTAAACTGAAAGTCAAAATCATTAAATAATTGTTGACATAATCTATATCTATGCTATAGTTTGCTAGTTATGTCTGTCTGACACCTTAACAATTAATTGTAAGTTTTTCCTAAAACGTTAGGAAAAATATAATATGTAGTCATAATACATTGATCTCTTTAAACTTTTCTGTAAGGGATTTCGGGTAGCCGAAGTAAGAACATCAGTCTTACAGTGTCCACATCTCTAAGCTGCGGATATTCCAAATACCAAATGCTGCAGACCTCAATCGTCCTGCCGAAAATGTAATATGAGGCCCCCATTGTAATTTCTCATCTATGGTTATTCCCAGAAAAGTAGATTGTTTTACAAATTCATATTTCTTACCGTTTAATAATATGACCTTCGCTACTACTTACATTTGGTAAACCGTATACACTTTGTCTTTTTTTCGTTTAGTACTAAATAATTTAAACCAGCTATAAACTTTCGTGATAGCATTATTTACTTCGTTGTGATTCTTTGTCCGTCTATTTATATATGTTATTTTAATAATTAACGAAGAATCATCAGCAAATAATACCGCTTCCGGTTCACGTTAAGTCATTTATATAGATCAAAAAGTGGAAAGGACCTAATATTCAGCCCTGCGGTACGCCCATAGATATGACTGCACGGTTGGCGCGGTGGCTGGGCAACTGGCTGCTGCGCAACGTGTCGCGGGTTCGATTCCCGCACGGAACAACTCTTTATGTGATCCACAGATTGTTGTTCCGGGTCTGGGTGTGATGTGCATGTGAAATTGTATGTTTGTAAGCGCACCCACGACACAGGAGAAAATCCTAATGTGGGGCAACGTTTTTTTTAATTAGAATTAGAAATGCTAGCTCCCAGAGAGTTCACATTATTTATCTTTACTTACAGCTGCCTATCCTGGAGGTATGATTTTAATAAAATGAGAGATGCTCTTCGAATACTTATCGTAATGTTCCAACTTTAGCAACAGTGTCTCGCAATCTAAAGCTTTCGACAGATCACAAAATATTCCAATAGTGTCGTGAGAAGTCATTCACGAGGCGAAAGCATGATTAATTCCAGTTACACCGGCGTCAGTTGTGCATCGTCCCTTGGAACAACCATATTGTGGCTCATGAAAGATGGAATTCATGTTAAAGTGTCGTAGCATCTGAGAAAGCTTATGTTTTTCAAATATCAAACACTTTTAAAATAGAGACCGTTTAATAAATTACTGGACTCTGTATTATCGCCTGATATAAAACAAAGCCGTAGAATTATTCAACAGCGATCAGTGTGAAGGTTACGTATTGGTTACAGCAGTAATGTGAGTGAGTGCGCCTGTACTCGCCGCAGGCGTCACTGCTATTTGTTATTCGAGGATGACACACGATCAATGCAAACCTTACGTCACAGAACAATAGCAGCAAGTTTAGGCGACACACAGCGCTTCTGCAGGAAGCTGCATATAAAATACTTTACTGTTACAATACAGGTCGCTGGGAACTGGTGTTAGAGATTTAATCAGTGCATAATGAAACATGTAATCATCATTATGAATCAGTTCAACTCTTCCAAATTGGATAGCATAATTGGTTAAAGATGAAAGCCCCCTTATAAACAATACACATTTACTGTAAGATTAGGTGTAACTATTTAATGGTGTGTGTGTGTGTGTCACCATTTTGTGGACCGCACACACCGAAATTGAGTGCAATTTAACTGCTCGCACTGAGTGTGTCACTAACACACACCGCACCGCGCGCACGTGCCACTGAGCTTAAATGCTTCATATTATATATTGTGCAGCCTGGCTCATCAGCTCGGAGCTCGCAGCGGTGAGTCACGAGGTCTTCCTGCGCGATATCACA